TCTTCATCGTCATCCAGTCCCAGATCTTCCTGGTCCCAAGGAAGATCTGCATCACCAGCGTCATCAAAGCCAGCTGCGTCTTCCTCGGTCTCGAGCTGCTTCTGAACAAGAAAACTAAGACTTTCGTTGTTGTCACGGGGAGTGTCCTCTGACTCTACGTTCATTTTATTCATGAACATGAGACCTCCAAAGCCAGGACGATTGAAGATGGATTGCTTGACCTGGCCTGGTTCTTTGACACCATCATCGGTATCATCATCATACGTTGCCCTTCCTCCTTCATCAAACTCATCCTCGTCCTCTTCATTGAAGACATCTAGAAACTCTGGTTTATCAGACATTCCATTGTCCTGTTTGCGAAAGACGACGTTCCCATCTCCTCCTGACCTCTGCAGAGTTCCCTTGTCTTTCTTTGCTAGCTTCTTCAGGAGTGTACCTTTGAGAGATCCAACTTTATCCACAGCAGTAAGCTGGGAGAACTGCTCGTTGACGCCGCTCATGAGCTCTTCGTTTGTGTGCGTCGATCCCACGCTCGCCTCGGACACCGAGCCACGTTGCAATTTGTCCCTCTTGCTCTGGTGTCTCTTCTTTACCTTCTCGCAGAGTTTCACTCGCCTCTCTGCCTCTTTCTGAGCCTCCTTCTTCTGGCTGGCAACCTTTTTCGGGTGTTGGTTGGTTTGGTGTGCCGCAGCATTGTCCAGAAAGCGCACGCATTCCATGTGGCCCCGAGAAGCGGACACATCCATGGCTGTGTGGAAGTCATTGTCCAGGGCAAAGAGGTTGGCTCCAAAGTTCACCAGAAAGCTGAGGATGTGCATGTGGCCGTTATCTGCAGCGAGGTGCAGAGGGGTGTTCCCCCAGATGTCACTCTTGTTGGGATCTCCTCTGGAATACACACACAAAATGAAATGATGAAATTATTCTCTGAATCACCTTAAACCACCTTGAAGACACTAGATGTGTCAAAATAATGCTCTGTTTGCACATTAAAGCTGAAAACCATCAGTGAACTTCAGTTGGTGCTGAGATGGGGTAGAGGCAGGGCAGCTGTTTCAGGACCCAAAAGTCCCAGGTTCAATCCTCAGTCATTGCACACTTCTTGGTGTCTCTGAGCAGCACAACCTATCCCCAAATGCTCCCCAGGTTCCTTCAATAGGTGCCCACAGCTCCATCTGGGGGTGGATGGGTTAAATGCAGAGAGCCAGTTTCACCATTGTATGGGAACATACAAGGATCATAACACATTATTATTATTTGTTCATTATTATTTTTCCTTTGAAAGATCAGTTGTCCTATTTTGTTTTTCAGGTCTGTGTCAGATATGTGGGGCTTAACTGGCAACCAACACATTTTTAATGAGCTCAAACTATAAATGTGCTTCTGGTTGATAGCTGACTTTATAAAATGGACTGAACCACCTGTTCTGGTTTCTTTTGTCTTATAATTTTTAATTATTTCATATATAACTACCTACAAAAATCCCTTTTTCCATTTTCCATAAAGTAATATTTAAAATAGGTCCAAATCATGTAACAA